GGGGGGGGGGGGTAACACCCTCAAAGCGAAAAGAAAAAAGGGTGCCCAACTTGGCCCGAGAGGCCCTGGAATGCTGGAATTGTGGAACGTGTTAAATATTAAGAAATTTTCTGGAAAATTAGGTCGGAAAAGGTCTGAAAAAGTATTTTACAGCCCCAATTATCTAAATTAGTCCGGAAAATTTTTTTGAGGGGGGCCTGAAAAGGGGCCCCAAATTTTTTAATTTACCCCTCAGATACCCGCTCGGGACGGCCCAGTTTGTTTTGCAATTGCCTCAGCTTGAATACCCCATTTCTCTTCCTTTCATGCCTCGTCATCGATTTACGACCGAACGTATATATCAGTTCCAGCTGAAATTGAGCGTGTTATTCAGTCTAACTCACAAATTTCGTTTGAATTGACATAGTAGTCATCGTCAATTTAGTTATTTATGTTGAAATGGCTAACGGCAGTACTAAGCAAAGTGAAGTTATTCTGGAAAACATTTGGCTAAGAAGAATTCAATTATTCGCATTCAAAATAACGATGAATTTTGTTTAGCTAGGGCTTTAGCTGTTTCCATTTCGAAAATTGAAAAGGATAGTCGGTATCGTCATCAGCGGCGGCGGAACAGATTTCGTTCTGGGGGGGCTAAATTTTTTCGGCGACCTCCCCCCCCCCCCCCGTCGCCAAAAAAATTTCGGTCAGTGCACCACTTTAGGGGTACAATATACAAAAAAAGGGACGAAAAAAATTTTTTCGGGCTTATATCAAAAAAAATTTTTCGGAAATACACTTTTTTTAAACAAAATATTGCAAATTTGTCCTCTTATACCTAAATTTTCAAAAAATAACCTAAATTTTTCCCTAATTATCAAAATATTTTCAAAAAATTCAAATTTTCTGGGGGGGCTAAGCCCCCCCACTTTTACTTCTGGGGGGGCTTTAGCCCCCCTAGCCCCCCCTGTTCCGCCGCCCCTGGTGGTCAGTTTCGTTTGCTAAATCCAGCACTAGCAGAACCTTAATGAAGATGAGTTTTATCAGGTTTAAAGCCTCTTCACGTGACATATATTATGGTTGACAAGATTTGCCAATAAGCTTATGAATTATTAATGATGTTTGAAATATTGTTAATGTGCACTTACATTCAATATCGCGCAAGTTGTAAAAATATTCAAACTCCTTGTTTGAAGGCATGTTGAATGTAAGCTTACAGTTCAGATTGGCGCCATAGTTACCAGCGAATCCAGGCGAGTGGACACGACCAGTAGGACTGGGGGTCATTGATCTGGTCGGACACACACTCACTGCTTGGGGCAAACCAGGTGCTAGAACAAACAAAGATAGCAATATTCTATACACAGAATAATGAATAATAATAATATTTAATATTTCTATTGCACGATTTTACATATGTATATGTTCAAGTACTGTTTAATAAACGAGCAGGAGTGTTTTATTAGGTTATAAGACTATACAAATTCAATAGATATGCTGCCTTATTAGTATTCTTTATATAAAGAATACTAATTAGGAGTGTTTTATCAGGTTAAAGCACCTGCACGTGACATATTATGGTTGACATGATTTGC